TACATACATTACCAGCCATCACTACTGGCGATCTTCGATCATAAATCGGGATAGGTGACACGATAAAATGATGTGCCATGTCTGAAGAGTATCGAAATAACTTTATTCGTCAGCTACTGATGCCCTGGCTCGTAACTTTAAACCTACAATCATAGACTAAAGTCCTTGGGACAGTCAGAGCATAACTGTAATTCTATGTATCACAAGTAATGTCGTGAAAAGCAGTGGTGTCATTTTACAAATCCATGTAACCTCCCCCTTCCCCATCCAATACAATGTCCGGAAAGATCAAAGGAATTGTGCCTTGATGGTTTCAACACTGTCGGTGGGTTGGGGGTAGGGGGTAGGGACGTGCAGTGTTAGCAGCGCGCAGATACAATTTCGCGTGAGTTAAAAAGCGTCCGAACTGTTCAACTGGCCCAACACTTTTGTGCATGATTGTAGAACAACGTAGATTTTACCATCGCTGTATTTATGTTTACGAGTGTATTAATGGCCTTATGGATCACCCGATGGAGCTACTAGCAAACAGAAACGTTCATAATTATAACACAAGAAATAAAGACATGCTTAGACTACCCCTAGCAACCAAAAATTGGGGTGAACAGAGAGTGTGTTATCATTCTCTGAATGATTGGAATAATTTAGACAAAGACATTAGAAACGCACCTGACGCTGTGAATTTTAAGCGTATAATTTTTAGCTGCTTTTTTTATTTAACGGATTTTTGTATTTATTGTAGCTTTTTATCAATCTTTAATTTAATTTTTTTATATATTTTTATTTCGTATAATAGTCTAATTTACTACTTTTAATCATCTAGCACCTTTCTGAAGACCACAGTGATGTGATGAAAGTTTCCTAATAAAAAGTTATTATTATTAAAAAGTAACATTGACGTAATTAATCAAAAACGCAGAAAGAATGGCTGAAAGACTGAAAGAAAGAAAAGAAAAGAAAGAGAGAGAGAGAGAGAGAGAGCAGGGAACAAATGACTGAATGAAAATAGAACTAATTAAAAAAAGTGCCAGCAAGCATGCATATTGTTTTTATGAAGCCGTTTTTGGTTGCCGTAAATCCTCTATTAACCCCCACCCACCCCTCGCATTTTAGGGAGGGGCTTAGTAGAGACGGCGGGCCTATTTAATTTAGCCCAGATGATGGTATGTAAACTAGAATACAAATTGGAAAAGCTCAAGTACAAGAAGTTACAGATTATGCAGTTGATGATCAAAAACAAATGCCAGCTATGAACCATCCCGGATTAAAGCTTTACAGTCTTAATTTATTAATACAGTCTATCATTTATTAGTGAAGAATNTTCGTATAATAGTCTAATTTACTACTTTTAATCATCTAGCACCTTTCTGAAGACCACAGTGATGTGATGAAAGTTTCCTAATAAAAAGTTATTATTATTAAAAAGTAACATTGACGTAATTAATCAAAAACGCAGAAAGAATGGCTGAAAGACTGAAAGAAAGAAAAGAAAAGAAAGAGAGAGAGAGAGAGAGAGAGCAGGGAACAAATGACTGAATGAAAATAGAACTAATTAAAAAAAGTGCCAGCAAGCATGCATATTGTTTTTATGAAGCCGTTTTTGGTTGCCGTAAATCCTCTATTAACCCCCACCCACCCCTCGCATTTTAGGGAGGGGCTTAGTAGAGACGGCGGGCCTATTTAATTTAGCCCAGATGATGGTATGTAAACTAGAATACAAATTGGAAAAGCTCAAGTACAAGAAGTTACAGATTATGCAGTTGATGATCAAAAACAAATGCCAGCTATGAACCATCCCGGATTAAAGCTTTACAGTCTTAATTTATTAATACAGTCTATCATTTATTAGTGAAGAATAATAAGGGGGAGGGGAGAGGGGGGCTGAAAACAAAGAGGGGCTTATTTACTTTCTTCGGCCTGAAAAGGGAGGGAGGCTTATTAGAGACGGGGGGCTCATTTGAGAGGAAGGGACTTAGTAGAGGATTTACGGTACTTAGTGTTGACGAGTGAATCAGATGGCACTTTTCCAAACCATATACATCTAGTTCACTTCGCGGTCAAGGAAGTACAAAACAGCACTTCATCTCGTCTTTCGTCTTAAATAACAAGCACCCAAAATATCCGGGCAACACTGATCCTATGAATTCATATCATGTCATGTGCGAGGGCGGACAACATGCCTGTTTAGTGTTATCTAATTCTAACTAGATGTTATCTAATTCTAACTAGAAAGCAGGAACCATAATCGGGGAAGGAGACTGCAAGTGCGGGGTCCAAGCGGCTCGGACATCGTAATAGCCAAATGTGCTATTTTTAGAACAGACTGTGCCACCGGCACCCTCAACGTCACACACTCGTCATAACATCATGCTTCAAATCAATTTACGTCGTTCATTGCTAAATTATTTCATCTCTGAGATTTAAAAGTAGAAAAGATCACGAAGAGCGGTCCCCGTCAATAAAAAAAAGCACAGAACATCCTACAGTAAAAGCACAAGTGCAAAATGTCAAAGATCGGCGTCCTCTCGGGGACTTTACTATAGTATATACTATACATTTCCCAAAAGACAGTAGACCGGGCGTGTCCTTCTCTGTCTCTTCAATTATCCTCCCTAGTTAGTTACCTTTGATGCCTCTGAGATGAGCGGGAAAACAAATACACGAATCAAGAAAATACTTGGTTCTTATCGGTAATTATTAACAAACATGACAAATTGAAGTTCGAAATCTTGTTGCTTAAACAAACCAGCCGTATATTTATTGTCAAAGGTTTAAGTGCAATCGAATGAATTATTTCGAATTTTAACTCTGTGGAGAGCTCAAACTTGAAGAGCGTGAAGAACGTGAAGAACGTAATGGATAGTAATAATCATCTTGCATTTTTAGTTATTAACGGGTATTTTACTGATAACCAAAAAAGATCAAAAAGTTCAATTTAAGGTGATTCGCTGGTTTTGCGCTGCGCATCTCTCACTCTGCATAACGAGATGGTCGCCGTGAAAAAGATCGTCTGAAGAAACATTATTAAAATGAAGTTGATCAAAGAGAGACGTTATTAGATTTTCCGTTGCAGTTGTTTCTGGCCTAGATGAGACTCAATGTGTTGGAAATGTGCATGACAAATTGGCGGTAGGCGTGTTGATGAGTTCGACCTCCTGACCGGCGAGGCCATCGACACTGGTGTTCCTTTTTTCGAATCACTTAAATATTAATTCAAGCGCCATCTTTGTCACATGGCGCCCTAACTATGATATTTTTCTAGTGAATTCTGTAAAAACGGATTTTTCAGTGCGTTCTTCCACCTTCCACATACAGTCAACTCCTTTTATAGGGGACACTGTAGGGACCTTAAGTTAGTGTCCTTCGTAGCGAGAGTCCGTAATAGCGGGAGTTTATTTCAGTCAAACGTCTGTAATTCGTTTTTGCCCGGAATTTATCTGCTGTCCGTATTATCGGGGTGTCCTTTATAGCGGTATGTCCGCAAGGCGAGAGTTGACTGTACATGCCATTTTGAAACACGCCCCAGTCCTCCCTCAAAACTCCTTAAAAATGCAGTTATTATACGCACTTTCTGCTGCTCTATTGCAAAAAAGAGTATGGTGTCACTCATTAATTTTTATTTCATAGCGGTGCTCCACGCACTTGAGCCCTATAGCTAAGAAAATTTGGTTATTTATACGTCCGAAAAAATTTGGTAGTCACGTGACCGTTCGTCCGCCTACCCACTAGTCCGTCCGCAACAAATGGAAAACAATTTTAAATCTTACACTTTCTAGCTAGCGTGGGAGCATGCGACCTGATACTGCGCATCCATGCTGTGGTCAATTGATAGCTGCCAAAACCGAATATCCGCTGACCAGTATCACATGACATCACAAGTTTACTGTTTGATTTAAATTACAAATTTATTAACGGGAGCTTTGCTTTCAGCCCCGGCTAAATCTATATATTAATCTTCAAAAGAACAGTGCTTCCTTTCAATGAGAAAAAAAATGGCAATTTCATTAAATTGTACGGATTGAGCTAATACGGGTAAAATAGCGCGTATCCAAATTAAGTCTACTTTGGAGGGTAAAATAAAAATAAGGGCATTCAAGTCAAGTTCTCTACGATATCACATACATCATGGAAAAAATCGCTCCTATTTGTTCAGTTTCAGGCTGGGCACAATTTTTGTCAAAAGGACCTAAATGGCCGTATTCGTCAGCATTTTTTCTTTTAAAGCCAGCACGGACATTGCGTTTTTATCATCTTGTTGAATTGTTACAGCCGTGTACCAATTTTCATCGAGAATCAATATCTCTTTTTCGACAAAGTAATGAAATTTCACCGACACCTGCAGCCGCCCCTCCCCTCAATTCAGATGGAATAATTAGCCGGGGCGTTAAAGCTAATCAGATACGGCTTAATATTCCAGATTCATGATTTGTAATAGGACATTCGCACTAAGATGTCATGTGACATCGTTTTTATGAAAATGAAAGTTTTATGATTTTGCCTTCGAACAACGAATAGTGGGTCATATCTTAAACAAAATAATACTGATTTGGTTTTTCAAACCCGTACCATTTTCTTAAAATGAGTAAGTTCGTTGATGGCCACGCAACCAAAATGTGGTTTTTAAAATTATGAATCACCTCTTTCTGAACCCAAATTTTGCACTTAAACTTCAAGGAAAATGTTGAAAAGATGATGTGGTAACGTTTACAGCACATCTGAGCGTAACAATCAAACGTTTAACAAGATATAAGCAAAAATTAGTTTTGGTCGCCATGTTGGAGGGCAAGAGTATGCCGTCCAACATGGCGGCCAATACAAATCATACTACTTTGTCGAAAAATCAAAGAGCCATAAAATATCTCCCTTAAATGAGTTTCCTCTCAAATAGTTTTTATGTGCTCTGTCAATTTTTGGCACCAGCAAGATTCAAACTCATTGTTTAAAGGAAGCAGTGACCTCTTAGTGCAAGTGGCCTATTGCTAACCATTTATATTGTTTCGCAGCCCTGTCCCACAACTTGCCCGTGTATGTGCCATCAACTGTGTCTGAACCCAGTCTACAATGTGGATCGACCTTCTGTTATCATGGCTCCTGTGTCGAATAGAAACTATCAAGAATCAAATGTGATACATACACCAGTCCAGTTTGAGGTAATAGAGAGTTTTAGATTCTAGTTTACCGCGAACCTCTAACCGCTGGAGGTCACGTGACAAGTCTTTCGCGTCACGTTTGAGGTTTACGACGTGCGCTTTCAACGTGGGGAGGTAGGTTTTCACGTATGTCATTTACCTGAAAGCGTTTAGCGTATAATCCTTATTTTATCCCACGTGATGATACAAAAATCTTGTGGAGCAAGTCTTTATCCATTAACAGAGGCACAAATTCGGGCGAAATGCTATATTTGATAAATCCTATGGGATCTTGAAAGCAAGAAGTGCCATTCATGGCTGCTTATTCAAAATGGCGGCCGTAATCTAATCCACCGCCAATCTAAATCTAATTACGTGTTAAAGTCGAACCGCAAACGGGTAACCGCAAACCGCGGTTAGAGGTTCGCGGCAAACTCGGATCCAAAACTCTCTAATGTACCGGTCGATTCGTGACCTCCACTACGGGCCCCTTCAGGTATTAAACTCGGTGAATTTTCAAAAATTCCATTATTTAAATTCTTATCCCCGGAGCCGAGTATGGTGAGGAATTAATTCAGTTGGGATTGCTGTACCTCATGGTCAAAATAGATGGTCAAATACCCCGACACCTGGTACCCACACAGTTCACAGCGGCGAGAAGTTTTAATAATAGTTCGTTAGAAAGCAGAACAGTTACCTTGAAGACAAACGTCCGCTTTAGCAGGACATGGCCTCTGCTCTACTACGAAGGGCGCAGTTCATCATCCTTTTTAATTCCTTCAAGTTTTTGATTCCCTATTAATTATTCTTATGGAATTTTGT